ATCCAACTATTGGAAATATTACAAATACTTTTCTAGTTGATGAACCTGATAATATTTCGGATACAACAATAAGAACTTCACGTCCTTTTTCAATAGAACATGATAATAATTCTGAAGATACTGCTACATTACATCCTTCATTATTTAATTCAGATGAATTTTATTCTTTAACAGAAACTCATGTAATATCTTTATTACAAAGAGATGATATTGAAATTAATGAAATTGAAATATGGAATCAAATAATTTTATGGGGAATTAAAAATACTTTAAATCTTTCATCAAATAATTTATTAGAATGGAATAATCAAGATTTTGAATCTTTAAAAGAAACATTAAAAAATTGTATACCTTGGATAAGATTTTTTCAAATTCAACCACAAGAATTTGCAAATTATGTTTGGCCATATAAAAAAATTTTACCTCAATCAATAATTGGAAATTTTTTGAGACAACAAATTACTGGTCATGCTCCAATAATGGAAATGATGAATAAAACTCCTCCAAGAATTCCTTCTAGTGATATAGATTCTTTAATAATGACTGGTAGACATGCTACTATATTAGCTAGTTGGATACATCAAGGTCCTTATTCTGGAAAATGTCATTTTAATTTTAACTTAATATATCGTTCAAGTAAAGATGGTCTTTCTTTAAAATTATTTCATGAAAATTGTGATGATAAAGGTCCAACTATTCTTGTAATTAAATTATTAAATTCAAATCATGTTGTTGGTGTTTATAATCCTTTATCTTATCAAAAATCGAAAATTAATTTAAGAAGAAAAAGTTTAATATATAATAATAATTCAAAAAGGAGATCAAATAGTTTTGATGTTAATTCTTTAAATATAAAAGAAACAAAAAAAGATACTTTTCTTTTCTCTTTTAAAACTCGTTATTATCCTGAAGAAACTGCTTTAATTAGTCGTATAATACCTGAATATTCAAATGAAGCTATTATAAAACATCCTAATAATAATGGTCTTTGTTTTGGTATAGGTCCTGATTTACAAGTTAATTTAGATAAGAATGATAAATTTGGAAAAGTTTTTCTTTCTTCTTATCAAAATCCTATTTTAAATTTTGAAGGGAATTTTGAATTTGAAGAAATTGAAGTTTTTCAAGTTTTAAGAAAGTCAGGATATCAAGAAGAATATTATTTTTAATTGTACTGTATATACAATATATATGTATATATATATATACATATATAAAAACATAAAAATTAAATAAAGAAAATTTTTTATTTTTTAAGACGCGTTTAATTTTATTTTATTTTAATTTAAAAAAATTTTTTACATATTTTTTTTTATCCCCTACTAATAGTGAACTCATGATTATCCCATCTAAATTATCACAATAAAACTAATGTTGGCGTCGATGACTATCTTTTTTTATGATCGGATTCTAATCCAAAATTCGAAGTTTTTTTTTATTATTCCCCCACAAAGTTAAACAAATTAAATTATTAAATCATAAAAAGTGACATCAAAAATATTTACAATACTACTTTGTTTATATGAAAAGCCAAGATCAAATGCCAAGATATACGAAATGCCAAGTCGATCATAGAAATACCAATCATATTTGAAGAAATCAAAGAACTTGTTACTGACCTAAATCAGTCAATCTTATTTAATAGTATATTCCGAACCTTAATATAGTTAGTAATTTTTTAAAATTTCAAATTTACTACTATTTAATTTTATTTATTTTTTTTTTCTTTTAAAAAATGTTGTTTTTTATAAATTGTTTCAATTGAAATGATTCAATTTTTTTTTTTTATATATATGGCGCTAAGTTTATAGAAATTCCATTTGGATGATTTCATAAGCAATTCTCCCATTAGTCATATGTTTGCGCAATGTTACAGAACTGCAGTGTCTTGGCAGTCTTGGCACGTGTAATTAAGAGTTTCTTTCGTTACACATGTAATCCGCTTCAGAAGAAAAAAAATTCCGATAGTGCTCCAAAAATGAGTTTGTGTTGAACGTTGTAATTATCTTTTTAGAGCAGTTATTATGCAAAGGTCGTCTTTATTTTTTTACTAAAAATTTTCATTCATTTACTGACTCGGGTCTTGGTCTTGGGTCTATGCAGTGTAACTTATATTGTTTATTAATGCATGACACAAAATATAGTGATCATCAACATTTCTTTTCCTTTTGAACTCAAATTTTTCAAAAAAAAAATTTTTTTTTTTTAAATTAAATTAATATGTCAAAGGTTATTAATACAATTAATAATAATAATGATAATATATCAAAACAATTAGAAAGCGCATTCCCTGATCCTACGGAAGATATATTTTGGCAAAAGGTTTCAACTGTTATAAATGAAGATTCAACTAATGATGTAATAACTAAAATTTTAAATTATTGGTTAATAATTGATTTTTTTTTTTTTTTTTTTTTAATTAAAATTAGAATATAATTTTTTTTTTACCATTTTTTTTAAAAAAAAAAAAATTTCTTAATTAGACTGATGCAATATGGAATCCGAATAAAAAAGAATTAAATAAACAACAAAATGATCAAGAAAATAATGATTTTGTTATAGCACCACCACCAGTTACTAACAATTTTACTAGGCATTCGCGTAAAAGTAGTAGAGTTTCTTGGGGATTACAAACTGATTCGGAACGTCATGTTGAATTATTGGGTTCGTATTTTTTTTTTTAATACCCTCTTATTATACCCTCTTATTATACCCCTCTTATTATTATAATGTGACGAATTGTTCGTACATTATATAATCTATTATTTATTTATTTAAATGATTAAATTAATTTTTTTTTTCTCTTTTTAAGAAACAAAATTGAATGATGTTATTTCAAATCCTAGAAGAACTCATACAAGATCTTCTACAATGGATTTTGATGGCACACCATTATCAACTTTGGGATATTATCCGGAAGAAGAGATTGGATCAGGAACAATTTTTGATGACGAGGAAGAACATCCTGATAATCATAATCCACAAGAATCAGATGAAGGATTATGGTTATTATGGAAAAATCAGTCGAACAATGAAAATGGTGAACAATATGACGACACTTCGACAACAAATCAATCATGGTATTTACCTATATTACCAAGATCTGATAATAATAATGTTGTTAATAATAATAATACTTTACCAAGATTACCAAGGATGAGAAGTGCAGGTTATGTTACTAATTATCGTGACGACCCAAATGAATTTTCGTTTTATGATGATGATGAAGAAGATGGATATGATTTAAATGATGAAATATTATTAAATAGAGCTAAAAGAAAAAGAGAAAAAGAATATTTGAAATTTGATGCAAGAAGTTATGAATGTTGTGGTTGTAACACTACCAATGGCTTATGTGCTGGATTATGGGGAGGTTGGTGCTGTAATTGGGTTTGTTTGCCTACTATTTTATTTATAAGAGAATATTGTTGTTGTGGTGTTTGTGGTTTAGATGATGATTAAATGGTACAATCATATATACAGTATACTGTATATATAAACATATATATATATATTTTAAATAGAATTTGTAATTTTATTTCAGATTATGTCTGCTTAATGAGGTGTAAAAATAGAAGTCAAGATCATATGTTAACAATTATATAATCGAACTATATCCGAAAAGTAATTGTTTGTTTATGATGATCAAAAGGAGGAGTTAAATAATTTTTGAAACTGTAAGACTTTAACGATGAATGAGTCATATTTTATCGATTTAAAAATTTAATAAAGACTTTTTTTTACAATTTAACCTCATCAAGAAGAGTAAAAATTAAGAGTCTATTCAAAAGTAAAACCCTATTAGAAGGACAAATTAGTAAATCGGTATCAGTTATTATATTCTTATTAAACGATAACTTAAAGTCATTATTCTAACGTCTCTTTTTTTTTATGGTTAAACCTATGGCTTAAACGAAAATAATAATTATAATTTAGGGCTAGCGAAGTATCAATTAATTAGGTTAGTTTAGGTTAAAATCAAGTGATTTTTATGGCATCATTCATCGTCATTTACTAAGTTAATCTGTTTGGTTAATGTTGTGATTAGAGGTTGGAACCGGATTTAAAAAATAAATCCGGTTTTATTTTAACTTATAATATATCCGGTTCCTTCAAATCCTTCGGATTTATATCCGGTTTTATTCGGTTTTCCTTCGGTTATCCAGATATAATAAATCCGGTTTCCTTCGTTCCATCCGGATTTATTATATTCGGTTTCCTTCGATATTCGGATTTAAATCCGAATCGAAGGAAACCGGATTTAAATCCGAATGTCGGATATCGGTTCTAACCACTAGTTGTGATTCAATTTTACAAATTAAATCTTGCGTTTTGCATTAAAATACTAAGCTTTAATGGTTCTAAGTTCTATTTATTTTTATTTGAAATATGATTTGCCAATAATCTCCCAAATTGATGGCTCGCTCATTAAAAATATCAAAAAATTGGTTTACAGCATGTGGTGTAAAAATCACGTGGATGTCATTATGTTCCCGATGGCCTGTGGCCTAACTGTTAACAGAATTCGTCTTCCAAGTTCCAAATTCTTTTCGAAATATAAAAGTAAAAAAACTTTTTTTATTATAAACATTTCGAACCCTTTCCTGGCTAATAATATTCGAAAGATATTTCCTACTAAATTTTTTGTATTAATAAATCAATTATATTTTTGAAGTTGATACTACGTCTGTCATGATAAATAGACAATTCAATTTCATCTACTACTATATTTCTTCACAACACATTTTTTTTTTAACTGTAAATCTTCCAAATTATTTCTTTCATATTATTATAAGGATATTATTTTGTATTTATGGAAAATTATAAAGTAATTTATCCCACAATGTCTTTCCCAGATCGGCCAACACGGTTAATTAATTAATGAATATGTATCCTTTTAGAATCTTTTAAAAAGAATGCTGCGCCTATTTAACATTTCCTAAAAAAGTATTTCTTTTATTATGAAATAATATTCTTTTTAAATAATTGCATACGTGTTTGGGGATTTAGCTCAGTGGTAGAGCAATCGACTGCAGATCGATAGGTCACTGGTTCAAATCCGGTAGTCCCCTTAATCCTACTTCACTAAAATTTATCTTTTTTTTACTTTTTTTATATACCAAAAAATTTTGCGTAACGTTAGAACACGTGATACAATAAGAATGATAATCTAAACTTGAAATTTTTTTTTTTTTTTATATCGTTCATAAACGAGAAATATTTTATTTGAAAAAACAATAATGGTAATTCGAATTAGATTAGCACGACATGGAATAAAAATAAGAAATCGGCCATTTTATAATATAGTTGTAGCAAATGCAAGAACACCAAGAGATGGTAAACATATAGAGAAAGTTGGATTATACGATCCAATTCCAAATGACCAAGGAATTAAGAATGTTGAATTAGATACTAGTAGGATTAAATATTGGNAATATAGTTGTAGCAAATGCAAGAACACCAAGAGATGGTAAACATATAGAGAAAGTTGGATTATACGATCCAATTCCAAATGACCAAGGAATTAAGAATGTTGAATTAGATACTAGTAGGATTAAATATTGGATAAGTGTTGGTGCACAGCCAAGCGATACTGTCGCAAGACTTTTGTCAAAGGTAAGAAAAAAAAAAAGAAAGAAAGAAAATTATGAATTTTTGTATATTTATTAATTTATATTTTATGCTTTCTTTAGGCTGGTATTATACCTACATTACCTAAAGGTGTGAATAAACCAAAGAATAAACCTAAATTTCTCGTGAATCCAGTCAATTCAATTAATGAAAAAGTGGAAGATATATTATCTGAACAAAATTCATAATCATGAAGGCACGTAAAAATTTATTTTTGATATAAATTCAATCATTCTTTAAACATTTACAAAATATTATATTTTTTATATACTTTATTATTATTATTATTATTATTATTATTATTGAATAACTTTAAATACTTCAATTTCTTCAACCCAAAATCTAGCTCCAGTATGTCTTATAGGTTTATCATAACATCTCCATCTACAAAAACCTTCTCTTGGTCTGGCGATACAAGAAAATTCCATATCGCCTTTACCAAAACTTGGACCAAAGTTTTCACCATCATAAATAGCATGATTTTTAAGATTTGGTTGTATTCTACTTAAAATATATTTTGATTCTGATAATAAATCACCTAAATTGAAAATAAAACTATCATCTCTTACAATATATTGATTTGCACTTTTCCATCCAGTAGGATTATAACCTCCAATGATTTCTTCTTTACATCCATCAACATTATTATTAATCTTTGATTTAATTAAAACAAGAGAAGGACCTTGATTATCACATTTTTTGTGAAATCTTTTAAAAGAAAATTGATGTTTACTTCCTCGATATAAAAGATTAAATCTTATTTTACCAAATTGAATTTTACCGTTAACATTTAAATTACCTTCATTTGAATCAATCCAATTTGCAATTAGAGCAGCTTGTTTATGATTAATTAAAGTTGAATTAATATTATAAGGAGGTTTTCTTGATGTTAAATTTAATTTAATAGTATTATCTTCAAAATGATATCTCCATAATAAAGCTGATGATAAATTTGATGGTAAAATAGATTGAAAAGGTTTAACCTTTGTATCATAATCTTCGGATGAAATATCTGAAAATCTTATTAAAGAAAGTAAAGGAGATAATGTTGTCTTTAATGAAGTAAAATCTATCGAAGTAAATTCATCATCATCATCGTCAAGACTTTCATACTCAGTTTTATCATCATCTTTTATTAGCATTTCAATTGGTGCAGAAGAATTATGTAAACCCCATTGAATTATATAATTCCATATTGTAATTTCTTCAATCCTAATATCATCTCTAGATAAAATTGCAATTAAAATTGATTCATTTGTTGATAAAAAATTTGTTGAAGAGAAAAATGGTCGAGGATCTTTTGTTATTAAATCTACACAATATGTTTGAAGTATTGTAAATGTTTCATGTTTAAATGCTATATCAATTACTGTATTAAGGTTTTGTTTAATATAATCAGAAAAATGTGCTATTAAATATTGTTGAACATGAGAAAATAATTCCTCAAATGCTAATTCGTCCGTCGTTTCTAATAAATGAATTATTTCGGACGTTGTAAGATTAGAAAGAATTAATGTTCCCGTATATACGTAACTAGACGCGAAAAAAAAAGTATTATTAATTCGAATTCACTTTCTTTTATATATATATATATATATATACGGTATACATTTTTATTAAAAAACTTACTTTAATAAAACTTCAAAAATATTGGGTAAGATATTCGGTTTTTTAAAAATTATATTACATTTTTCATCTTTTTTACACCAATCATCTGATAAAGCAGATTTAAAATATGAACATCTTGCCCTAAGTATAACTGAATGCGCTTTAAATATTCGTATATTTGGTGTTTGTCCTATTTCTATTAAGACATTATAATCATCTGAATGTTTTAATAAACTTGATATATCATTAAAGAATCTTGACAAAAAAGATAAAGATGTCATATTTTTTTTTTCAATTTGACACCTGGAAATTTGTTAGTTTCGATTGAACGAATTTGATTTTATTGAAATTTAGTTTTTCTTTTTTGATTATATTTTATATATTATATTGTGTTTATATAAGACAGAAGTGAAACTGCCGAATATACAAAATATTATTGAGAGTGTAATCATATTTCGTAATGCATTATTATTTGAGAAGTTTAATCGGTAACAAATTATTATATAATTAATTACTATGTCCCGATTGTGTTTCATTAAAAATTACCTGGAATTATTTCAGTACCTTCAATGATTTAAGAGGCGAACAAAAACACACTTATATAAGTAACCCTTTTTTTAAATTTTAAAAAAAGGTTATAGTCAAGGGTTTGAAACACTTTCTTTTCCAAATATAGTCTAATTTTCAAAAGCTAAACTATAATAGGTTTAGTCATTTAATGGGAAACATAGTTAACCCATTTAAATTTATCTTTTTTGCGCCACATTCATCACTATTTTACAAACTGAACGTAAATGTATTTATTGAAAAAAAAAATTTATATACTGATAACAGATAAAGAATTATTGTAAAAATGTCATCATGATTTGTTATTTTTTTTTTTTCTAAAAATGGCAAATCATTTCATTAATGAAAAACTATTATAGGTTTTATTAATTTAGAATTCTAAATTCTACTAGGCAAATTTAAAGGAAGGTTCTTCTGATTATTGTAGATTTGGTTGATGGGTTGTAATTTATAAAGCTTCAATTTCTTCGCCGAGTTTTGTGAGCGTATTATTAAATTTTCGCCAGCGATCTCCTTTTGGACCCATAGAAACTAACCACTTGTAGACTTTACTTGTTTTTAATCAGGATATTACGCCGAGGTTAAGCCCAGAAAATCTAAACTATTTCGTAGTCCACGTGACGAATTATATGAGTGTTCTGATCCGCTTTCGTATTGATCGCGTCGCAATTGTTCTATTAAAATTGGGATACTTAGTTAATGATTCGGGCTAAACCCTCTGGCGAATTCCTAAACTAGTTTCGTCTTAGCCTAAACCCTCCTAAACTAGTTTCGCCTCACACCCAAACTCTCCTAAACCACTTTCGCCCGAATCTCCTTAAATCCACGTTCAATTTGGCGCTCTCGAAAAAGAAATACAGCATATACAGTATTTGTCCACATTTAACTTATATAATATGTTAAACTTTTTCTTATTTGGATATATCATAATACAAAAACATTAACTAGAGCGAGGTTGAGCGACAAGACGCTCATGTAACGCGCTAAGTTTGGCAAAAAAAAAGATTTCGTCAGCTGATAAATATACTGACGATAGTCATTTTTTTTTCTTATGTAGATTACATTGCCTATTCATTCATTTTATTATATCCTTTTTTACTTTGATGGATCTAAGGATTTTCGCTTATGTAGGGCTTATAATACACGTGAAAATATAAAAAAAAATTTGCAATTTAAACGCACAATAAAGATTTAATTTTTTATTGTTTTATTATATTTTACGAGAATGAGTTTTGTTCAAGTTTCTAGATTTGAATGAGATGTTCAAAATTAACAATTTGGCACTTCATATGGAGATGATCATTAAATATTATAATATTCCAGATCAACATGCAAAAAATTAATTGAAATAGTATTATAATCCAGCTAATTTTAGATTAGGGTTAAGGTTTGACGCGTTTGAGGGTAATATAACTCATTAAATTTAAAAGTCCGTGCGGTTGAATCAATTTATTATGTCATTGACTCTCTCCGTGGATTGTGAAAAACATTCACAAGTTGCTCCGCAAATCTATACCTAAAAAAAAAAGGTACAAATAAATAAAGGAATCCTTACCAAAAAAAGTTTATTATTTTGTGGAGAATAGAAAGAAAATAAGTTGATATGTATTCATAATTCGTCAATCCGTACGGATAATCAGCAAACGTGGTTAGCGGATTATGAATGAAGCTACTTTTATTAGTTTTTGAATTGAATTTTTGATAAACACGATACTGCAAGCAATAAATCATCAATGAACGCGTGTAATTCAAGCAAGTTCATTTAAAATTAATTTA